ATTGATAACTAAGTTGAGCACGAAGCTCCTATCTAATGGCAGACGTGCCAGTCTTATATAGAACCTTCGTTCTCTGTCGATCATCGCAGAGCGACTCGATCGCCTGTCACTCAGAGCGACAGTCGATTCGACCGACACCAACAATGGTCGCTCGGTCACGTGACTACAATACAATGAAATCCATGGATCGCTTAGCTACCCTAAACGATCCCTATTTGCTATAAGAGATACGATAGTGCTTAACCTGTCAGGGCGCCGCCTGGTCTTCACTCGTCACATGCTCACCGTGATTCGTGACAACGAGTTTACCTTTGAGTAAACACACGACCCGATAGTTGTCTTCTTTCCCGCATACCAACAGTCGAACTCGACCTTTAGTTAGTTAGATACCGGTTTCGTCACAGGTAAGTAGGCCTAATAGATTACTTTAAATAAGACTACTTAATTAGCTTTATTAGTATAAATTTTAGTAGAAGAGACCTATATTTTAGGGTTAACTTTACTATATACCTAGACTAGCTATATATAAATTACTTTATTAAGGTAATAGAGTAGGGGCCGGGGTGTCACGAATCACGTGTGAGCATGTGATGAGTGAAGACCAGGCGGCGCCCTGACAGGTTGAGCACTATCATATCTCTCATAGCAAATAGGGATGCTTAGGCTAGCTAAGCGATCCAGGGATTTCATCACATTGTAATCACGTGACCATTTGCATCGCCAGTATCTACAGGCGATGCAGGCGACACATCGACAACATCGACAGGCGATGTAGGCGATGGCAGAACATGAAGGTTCTATATAAGACTGGCACGTCTGCTATTAGATAGGAGCTTCGTGCTCAACTTAGTTTACACAGTTATCAATACCTTTTAACTTTGACGACTTTGTACAAGTGACGAGTTTGCTTCCAAGCAAACACACAGTGATAAATTGTCTTCTCTCTTCGCATATGTGAGAGGCCAGACCTCGAATAGCTCAAAGGTGTGGTTTCGAATATTCAATCAAGAAGTGCATGAGGACTACATACATGCGAGCTCTTCCTCTATATATAGAGAGGAAGAGCTACCTGAATATTCCAAGAAACTTGCAAGAAACTTGAATGACGAATACATGATGTCAGAAGAACAAAACAAGAAAGTGTGGAAAAGTAGAAACCTGTTTGGCAGTGGGGTAATGGTGTTATGGTGGGGATCAAGGAATAGATTGTTCGCAAGGAGGGAAGAGAGACGCTCTTCGCACTCCTTAGGCATTTGTTTATCTACGGAAGGGTACACCCGCAACTTCGCTAAGCGAACCCTTATTCACTAAATCAAAAACTGTCACATAAGGTCCCCCTTTCCCTCTCAGTTTCCCCGGCTCTCTTTTTCCTCTTCACAATCCTCCCAGGCTTGTAACCGTTCGTCCTCAGTAGGTTTTGTCTTACGTGGAAAACGTTTCTCAAACTCGAGGATAGGGGCAGTACTACGCACCACGTGAGCTAATGGTTCCCATGAGTCTGCTTCCGCCCCGTAGCCTCTCCATCGAACAAGATATTGAAATCCTTTGGTCTTATTCCTCCTTGAGTTTACTATCTCTTCTATTGCCCAGAGCACATATCCACTGTCATCGACCGCAACGGGGGGTGGTGGTTGATTAGTCTGGCCTGGCATAGGAACACCTGCGGCAGGGCGTAGTAAGTTGGTATGAAAGACATTGTGAATCGATTCCAGTTCGTACGGTAATTCCAGTTTATATGCGTGAGAGTTCATGACTTGTAGTACGCGGAAGGGGCCAATATACTTAGCGTCAAACTTAGGGATCAGCCTAGTTGACTTAATGTTTCGGGTACTAAGCA